TTTATTTATTTTTTTTTTTTTTTAAAGGCTGGTTTTCTAATTTCGGCCAACGTTTAATATGCTAATACCTAAAAAACCAAAACAAAACCCGATTACTTCTCAAGTGCCAGATTGACCTGCCTAATTATTCTGTTTTAACTGTGACTATTGTGTATGGAACATTATCGTACATTAAAATGTTTTCCTGATCTTGGTGTTTTTCTTGATTTTTTTTACCTCGCCCTTTTTTCGTATTTTTATTTGTATTTTTGTTTGTATTGGTTTAACTGTAAGTCTTTTGTATGGACATGAAATTTCGAAATAAAAGATGAATGAATGAACGAATAAATGAATGAATGAATGAATGTGTAAACCAATCCAAATCTGTCGAAGTTTATTATAATTATGGCCATCCGTGTTACATGAGAAAGGGGTTAATATATGAAGCAATTTATCAGCATTTGACCTTCACATTATTTTTGATGAGAATGAGAAAAGAATTAATCATTATCTTTCCATTGTCTCTTATCGAAATTTGTAAACAAATACCATCTGTACTTGCATTATGTTCAAATATGCCAAAGTACATTGTCGTAACCAAACAATGGCATTGTTGGCGCGCGTGAGCATGATTTTCGATTTAGAAGAAGTCCTTCGTGACTTTTATGAACGTCATTGAATAAGGCTTCCCTGGCATGGTTGACATCGTCAACACATCGAGTTTTAAAATTCTATCTGCAAACTATTTATGGAGCCTATAGGCCTAACATGTCTACATTAGTCTAATAATCTCGAGCGGGCGCTTTATAACATTTGCGTCTTAACATAACTATTAGAAGCCTGTTAAAATCACAATCACTAAACAATTTGTTCAATCCTACAGATTAATATAAATATTATTAAATTAATAATAATAATAATAATAATAATAATTCTGGATTTATATAGCGCCTCACGTTGACACAACCTCGAGGCGCTTAACAACAACAGAGAATAAGAAAAATTAATTAAGTTCAAATGAAATAAATAACAAATAAGTATAAAATAAAATTTAAATTGTAGGATCTAGGAGTCGCTCATAAAAAAAACCAGGGAACGATGAAATTACAATTTCGCTGTTCCCTATTAATACCAGAGTTCGCAACTAATTTCCTTCCTAAATAAAATACAAAATCTAATTTTCATATTTTTTTGTACAAAAAATAAAGTGAAATAATTTTTTTTAAATCACTATATTGCTGCAGTGTTTTCACAGCAATCGTATAAGTTACACTGTGCAGCTGTCCCCGACGCAACAAAGATCGACTGACCAATCAGCGTCGTTGATAGATGTCAGCGATAGCATGTAGTGATTTTATGGAAATCAGGCTGAACGCATGGTTTCCATTCTGTAGCAATATTCACTTGCTGAGATAAAAATACAATACAGCTTCGACTGTCAATGCTATTGTTATTGTACCTTTTAGAAAATGCTCCAGATCGATTTTAGATTGTGGCGTAACACAATGATAATGTAAACAGTATTGCGCTGATGTACTGATTAAAGTCAAAATAACAACTTAACGTATCTACTAATGCAGAAGGTAAATAATGCCTTTGCACGATGGTCAACCTCGGTCAAGAATTATATTTTTCATGATGTATCAACCGACTATAATATATTAATAATAATAATAATAATAATAATAATAATAATAATAATAATAATAATAATTATTATTATTATTATTATTATTATTATTATTATTATTATTATTATTATTATTGCATTTTTTTTTTGGCATAGGCCTGTTGCAAACCGGTTTTTGCAGCTCGACCTTATGATATCTTAGCCCATTGCCAGCCAAATCTTTGCCACCCGGCTCTAATAAAAGATCGAAATATTGAATCAAAATGACCAGTCTCACTTTATTTGGAGTATGTTTTATACTAAGTTATCTTAAACTTATCAGTGGACCTACTGGTTTCAGTGTATATTAGTTAAATAAGAAACGTCTATAGCAAGAGACAAATGTACATTTGTTATTATTACACTTTTATTGTGAATTCCTATTGCATATCTCTCTAGCGATTGTGCCTCTGTTACAAAAAAAAAACAAACTTATTATTATTATTATTATTATTATTACTCGAGATTTTATACAAAATGATAACAATATGTCAAATAATAATAATAATAATAATAATAATAATAATAATAATAATAATAATAATAACTAGATTTACCATGTCTGTTTGAACAACTAAACATAGGGCTTTTACCTATTGCTTTAATGAGAAATGAAGTTGAAATTGCAACAAAAAGTAAAGTCGTTAAAATGTATAAAGTAAAAAAAAACACGGAAAACCAATATAATTTTAATGAAGTGGAAAAAATGAAGTGGGGAAAAAAAACGAAAACTAAGTTCACTGCGACGTTATTTGTGAGACTTGAACTATGGCTGCAGTGGTAATAGCGAAGTACATCGTGACTCACAACCATTGCGCGCTATATGAGCCGACCTTGCATAGGAAAGTACATTTTCAGTTCATAGCGATTCAATGACTGAAAGCAAAAATTGTTCATGCATATCACGGTAGTTTAGAGTTTAACCTAGCTGTAACTGGTTTAAGCACTTTAGAAAACGCAAACTGCGTTTAAAAAATGTATTCAATTGTCAACAAAAAATCTTTTAATGGTCCTGATGTCCACACCCTGCTTGGGATCGTCACCAAATTTGGATCGTTTCTTCATTTCGCCATGAAAAACAATTCTGCAAAGTGTAATTTTTATCCATCTATAACTGGGACGTAAGCAATTTAAATGACCCTCAAATTTACACCCTAATCTGGATCGTCCACTACACATAATGATACCTTCCTTGTAACTTGGGTTAAACATTCCCGAAAGTTTCATTCTGATCAGTTGAACCGTTTTTGAAATATCTGGTCTGGAACGTTTTCCTTTAATTGGTCCTCACATTCACACCCTACTATACGCCGGATCATCACAAAAATTCAGTCATTTCTTTAATGGATCTTTACAAACTATTATAGAAAATTAAATTTACACCCATTAATATTTGTTTTTATAGATATTTACGTCTGGGATTTCAAAAATTTAAATGACCCTCCAATTTATACCCTTGACTGATTCGTCGCCAACACATAATACTGTCTTATTATAACACTATCGTCACAAAAATTTAATCATTTCTTTACTCGATCTTGACAAACTGTTATACAAGGTTTAAATTATACCTATTGATTTTGTTTAAAGAGATATTTAGGTCTGGGTCCTCAAAAAATTAAATAACCCTCCAATTTACACCCCTGACTGATTCGTTGCCAGCACATAATACTTTCATCCTTGTAACTTGGTTAAACTTTTTCCGAATGTTTCATTCAGATCAGTTGATCCGTTTTCGAAATATGTGGTCTGGGACGTTTTCCTTTAAATGGTCCTCAGATCCACACCATACTGCCATACTATAAGACCTTTACAAAGTATTATAGAATGTTTCATTTAGACCCATTGGTTTTTAAAAATAGATATTTAGGTCTGGGTCCTCAAAAATTGAAAAGACCCTCAAATTTACACCCTTCACTGGATCGTCACTAACACATAAAACTTTCTTCCCTGTTACTTGATTAAACTTTCCAGTAAGTGTCATTCAGATCAACTGACCGGTTTTTGAAATTTCCGGTGTAGACTGTTTGACCTAAATCACTTTAATTTGGTCCTCACACGCACACCACACCATAGATTGACACTAAATATTAGGTGGCACATCTTTGATATATAGCCTATGCTTCGGTAAAGTACAGAAAAATGCTAAGCATGGGAAGTGACCAAAGTGACGGCCAGAAAAAACAGTGCAAAAAGATAGGAAAAATTAATATATGCAAGAAAAAAGAAAAAAAAATCAGAACAAAAAAAATAATAATAATAATATTAGGCCTAATAATAATAATAATAATAATTAATTATGATTTACTATTTATTTATTAAAGTAAAAACAAAACAGTCCGCAGCACATAGCTGAAACACTGCATTTATGAGTAAGAAAAAGAAAAAAACAGAAACCAAAGTCAGCATCATTACCGTACATTATTTAGGCTTGTTCTAGGAGAGTAAATAATTTTAAAGATTTTCATTGACAATTGTTGATCTTTTAAGGACTACATTGGGAGTAAGTGCATTGTGATCTTTTATGTGCTTCATCCTGGTAATTTTTTATACTGTGTTTTTTTTTTATTGAGCGTGTATACTATTTTTGCTGAATAAATTCAATAAAATTCAATCAATCAATCAATCAAACGAACAATCAATCAATCAATCAATCAATTATTACAAATTAAATCTAGAAATATTCAGAAAACTTTGTATATCATAGTTATTTACAATATAAGCCATTGAAAAATTCATTCAAAATTTCTTTCATTAATAAATAATACATTATTTTTACAATCATGCACAACAAAAACAATATATCATTTAGGAATGGAAATTAAAAATTGGGAATTTATATCTTAGCCACCCTCTCTATAATTGCTATTATATTCAATAAATCTGACATAAAGCTACGTCCTCCGAAAACTATACTCCGCAGAACTAGAAAGTCATTTGTTTTTAATAGCATCCACATGTTTAATTTTAATGTTAAAAAATGGCTTCCATTTTATTCTTTTTCACTTTAAAATTTGATATATTGTATTTTTGTTGTATTTTCGTTTAATGTCATTTTATCTACCAAGCATAACAAATTTTTGTATATTTTATATATAGACCAATAAAATTTCCTGAATCTTACAAATTGTTTATTTTAATTATATTTATAATTTTATACATCGGAATTGCAATTTCTGAATTGGAATTGTATAGTATACCATAATTATTATCATATTATCAAAAGAAAATTGATTAAAATAATCTAAAAATTAAATAAATTCAAAATTAAAAACAAAAATAAATAGAAAAAAAAACATGTAAGTACTTAAAAATTAGCGTTAAATTTACAAATTTTCTATATTAAATTCTAAGTTTATAAAAAATCTCTTATATACAAGAATTAGAT